CGTGCGCGTACGGAGCGCCAGACCCGGCTGAACCTCACTCTCCCCGGGTTCCTTGCTAATGTGCTATTGTGCTATATCTCACAAGGCAAGCCACTGAACATCCACTCTCCAGGGTTCCTTGCTGATATGTGCTATTTTGTGTTATATTCTCACAAGGAAGCCACCTGAAATAACTCTCCCCGGGTTTACATGCTATATTGTTACTATATGTGCTATAGGGCCTATATAGACTTATAGTACAGATTTGCGCGTTACAGATCATAAGCACTAAGTAATATAGCACGGAGCTGGGAGAGAGTGGAGGTTTCAGCGGCTTGGCGTGTAAGATATAGCACATATAGTACATATAGCAAGGACGCGGGGGGAGAGTGGGGGTTCAGCGGCTTGGCGTGTAAGATATAGCACATATAGCACATATAGCAAGGACGCGGGGGAGAGTGGGGGTTCAGCGGCTTGGCGTGTAAGATATAGCACATATAGCACATATAGCAAGGACGCGGCGGAGAGTGGGGGTTCAGCGGCTTGGCGTGTAAGATATAGCACATATAGCACATATAGCAAGGACGCGGGGGAGAGTGGGGGGTTCAGCGGCTTGGCGCGGCTTCAATGCCGGGCAGGTGGCGCGGCCAGGAGGCTTCTATGCCGGGCAAGTGGCGCGGCCGGGAGGCTATGCCTCAACATGTCAACCCGACATGTTGAAGCAATTAGGCAGGTGGTGGAGGCTTCAATGCCAGGCAAGTGGCGCGGCCAGGAGGCTTCTATGCCAGGCAAGTGGCGCGCAATTTTGTTGCAATATTGCGGCAACAAGAGTCAGCCATGGAGCAATTTGGAATCAAATCGTGGGGGGAAGTTCAATGCAGGGAATCCCTGCATTCCCCGTATCTCTCTCTGTAGAGGGCGTTTTCCAAATGGTTTATATTCTACCTGAGAGGCTTCTAGCACTCGTCCGTCCAGCATTTGACCTCGTCCTGCGAAGGATTCGAAGTCTAAAACGCTGCGTGCAGGCGTGTGGCTGCAAAATAGAGACCCCTAGATATGCGCTGCAATTTGGCTACAGGTTGCATTTCAAGCGATGTCAAGCTTTGCCAAAGGAAACCCCTTTTCCCTTTTTTTCGGGGACCCCTTTTTTTTGAACCCCTTTTTTTCTTTTTTTTTTGTTTTTCTTAGCCCTGCAAAGGTTGGCTCGCTTGAAATGCAACCTGGAGCCAAATTGCAAGCATATCTAGGGGTCTCTATTTTGCAGCCACACGCCTGCACGCAGCGTTTTAAACTTCGAATCCTTCGCAGGACGAGGTCAAATGCTGGACGGACGAGTGCTAGAAGCCTCTCAGGTAGAATATAAACCATTTGGAAAACGCCCTCTACAGAGAGAGGTGCCGTCGTGCTGAACCTGCGGCGCGGCCCGGGGGCCTACGCGCTGCTCTTGCGCGCGGACGGGCAGCTGACCCGGGCGGGCCAGCACTACTACTCCCACCTGGGCCTGCGGCCTCCCAGCAAGGACCCCGACTGCGGCCAGCCCCTCATCCGCGAGGGGCCCAACAACTACATCTGCGCAACGGGCAGAAGAAGCTCGTGCGCTCCCTGCAGGGCGGAGAGCACCGGCTGACCAAGCTGGGCAAGGGCTTCTTCCGCGACAACTACTACGAGTACCTGGTCCACGTGCCGGTGATCATCCGGGGCAGGCGGCGCAGCGGGCGGAACGCGGGCGCGGGCTACGAGCGCAGGGACTGGCTGCCGGTGAACGAGCTGGACGGCGCCATAACGAGGCACCCGGCGCACCTCACGGAGGAGCAGGTGGCGCAGCGGGTCAAGCAGCAAGTGGAGGCCTCGCTGGACCCGGGCGGGACCATCCTGCAGCTCTCGGACGAGACCTACTTCCTCGACCCTGAGGGGCACTGGGTGGTCAGCACGACCGATGCGCCAGCGCATGAGGGGCCTGAGGAGCGTGAGCTTCCAGCTGCCCTGCGAGGAGGACGTGCTGCCGAGCGCCTTCGAGGACAAGCCGCTCTGCGTGCCCCGGCAGCTGGCCGAGCTGCTGCAGCTGAGCGTGGAGGAGGTGTGCGCCGACTTTGACGCCATGCAGCGCCTCGGCATCTGCGTGTGGCGCAACGCCCCCATGCGCGTGCTGAGCTCGCAGGGCGACCTGGACAGCTACGACCCGGCGCTGAAGGAGCACCGCACCGTGTGCTTCTTGGCCTTCGACGGGCACTGCTACATGTACAGGGCCGTGAAGCGGGTGCTGGAGAGGCAGGCGCGCGTGCTCTACCGGGGCGAGGCAGGCAGACCCTGCCGCCCATCCAAGAGTGGAGGCGCTTCGACGCCGCGGACGTGCAGCCGGGGCTGTTCTGGTGCGAGGACCTGCGGGAGGCGCGGCGCCAGCTTATGGCCGTTGGCGAGAGCCCCAAGGTGGCCATCAGCAGCCCGGCGCAGTACTGCGGGCTGAGGCTGAGGACACGAGATTTTTTTGAAGCTGCTGAAGGCGAAGCGGGAAGTGCCCGGCGCGGCGGAGGCAGAAGACCCTGGCCGCGCAGGACGGCAAGCGCGCGCTGTGCGGCTGCGGGCTGACGGCCGGCACCTGCGAGCTGGACCATGGTGCCGGTGAGGCAGGCCTTTGCGGGCAGCGTGCAGATTTTGCAGGCGCTGTGCGGCGACTGCCACGAGGGAGAGCGCGCAGCCCACCAGCCTGGAGAGCCGGTGGCGCCCGGCCCAAATCCACGGAAGCGCCGGCGGAGAAGCCAGGGGAAGATGATCGTGGAAGCTGCAAATCTGATCAGGCGACAGAGGAGATGAACGTGCGGACGCTGCGGAAGCTGTGCAAGGAGAAGGGGCTGAAAGTGCGAGGCAGAAAGAAAGAAGTTTTGGCCCGGCTCCTCAAGCCGGGCATGGCTGGTGATGATCGTGATGGCAGCAGCTTCCAGGGCAGAGCGGCAAGGCGGATGTTGTGCCTGACAAGAGCGAGGACAGCGACGTCACTGACGAGGTCACTGACCAGGACCAGGACAAGGACGATGATGTTGAGACTGAAGAGCAACCAGTCCTGAACTTGTCAAAGAAGCGTGTGGCTGCGCTGCAACGCAGCATTTTGGAGGGCCGACGCCAAGTGAACACACCAGAGCGCTACTCACCTTCCCCTGCCAGCTTCATCTATGATGATGATGACTCCAACAGCGAGGGCATCAGCGTGGACACGGATGCGTCTGCGTGCTCTTTGTCTTCTGATTCCACTGAGGCCAGGAGTACAGTTTTAGCTGCTAAGAAGCGGCGGCGTAGTAGCAACTGTAGAGACAGGCTGAGTTCATCATGTTCAGGGGAAACTCACTAATCTCATGGACCAACGAAACAAAATAGCGAAAACGCGCAATGTGCAGACAGCGTTCTCCAGAATTGTAGGCACAGTTGGGCAGACAGCGTTGCTTTGCAGTGCTTCTTGGGCGGATTGCAGTGGTTCTTGAACGGTCGCAGTTGTGGCCCCAAGTTGTCGACGTGAATCCTCGCCTTTAGGTTTAGGCCGCCATGGCCAATAGGCGGATACGCCTAGGGTCAGATTTCTCGGGCCTGGACACGCCCTACTGGGCTCTCCAGCGGTTGCAGGTGCCATGCCGGCACGTCTTCTCCTGTGATTGCGAGCCTGCAAGCTTGAAGGTGCTCACTTCTTGCAGCCTGAAATCGTCTACACCGATGTCCGAGCTCGCAATGTCCAAGAAGCTCCGGACGTGGATTTGTTCTGCTTCGGACCTCCGTGCCAGTCCTACTCTAGGCAAGGCAAGAGGCAATTTGATGATTGCGAACTAGGGTGCCTCGGACTACACTCTCTGGCCTACATCATTTACCACAAGCCGCGGCTGATTCTCATGGAGCAGGTGCCAGATGTGGTGTCGTCGGAGTTCATGAAGGTGATGTGCAAGGAGCTGCAGAAAGCTGAGTACGCTTTGCACCTGAGCATCTTGAAGTCGTATGAGTATGGAGCGCCACAGGCGCGGGAGCGGGTGTACATGGTTGGCATCCTTCGCCAAGTGGGCGCGTTCTCATTTCCGTCCCCGGTCCCTTGCCCGCCTGTGTCTGACTTCATTGATAGACTGCCAGCGTCTGAGTTCAAAGCTGTGCCTGAAGAAGGGCCCCAGGGTGGTACGACAAGGATTGTCAATGTGCTTCGCGAGTTGGAGAAGTGCTTGGAGAAGGACGTGAACCCCTTCCAAGCCTACGTGCTCATCACAAGTGGCGCCAGCCAGGGACGATGCAACCACATGGTGGGCCGTGTCATGACCCTGACTCGCAGCGAATGCATGAGACAGGGCTATTGGTGCACTGTCAAAGGCGGTTTCCTGAGCCCCGAAGACATGGCCAGGCTACAAGGCTTTTGGGATGGCTTTCTGGACTGGCGAAGCCTGACCATCTCCGATTCCCAGTTTGGCGCCTTACTTGGCAATGCCATGACTTTAAACGTTCTGCTGCACCTGTTTCCACACATGTTGCGGGCAGCCGGGCTCATGACTGCAGGTGAGTTTGATGAAGCCTTGCAGCGGGCTCGGAAGCATCACCCAAGGATGTAAATAATTCGAATGCGGGCTCCCGCCCAGCTCGTGGAAAGTTGAGCGCGCCGTTGGCCCTGCAAGTCTTCTGTCACTGATTTAGAGCACGAGCGGGCAGCTCGCATTGCGCTGCGGCTAGGCGTCGTTCTTCAACGTGGGGGACAAAGTCGCCATCTCAGAAGAGCAGCTGCCAGTGCATCAGTCAGGAACTGCAAGAGTTCGCATTCAAAGTAGCACCATGCATTGTTTTCTGGACTTGCTGCCGCGTCAGTCCAGATTGCGCCGCGGTGAGAGGCATTTCATAGAACGGACACAGCAAGACTAGCAATCACTGACCACACATCACACTTTCTTGCAACAGTCTTCCATTTGCCATCGCAACTTAAACTTGTTGTTGTCGTGCTCGACGCATTTGCCATCATGGGAGAGCATTCGTGTACGAGCCGTTGCCCCTGCAAGCGGTTTTACAAGATGGACCACTCGCAAATTCCAATCGTGACAGCCGAGCTGATCAAGATGTGTCCTCCAAGCTTGTTGGAGAACGTGAGAGCGCTTGACAGGGAGTCGTGGTTGACCGCTCAAGACCAAAGCGGCGAGCCTTTTTCTGTCGGGTGCGCGATTTGCATGGAGCTTCTTATCCCTCGTGATCAAGATGTGTTTGCTCGATTTGAGGTGCGCACAGTTGAGGCGCTGAAGCCTTACAGAATCAAGGCTCATGCGAACAGCCAGGCCCACCAAGCGGCTGTGTTGAGGATGCTGAGCCATGAGCCAGGTGAACCAGTTGAAGTTGGCGACCAGCTGGCTGCGCCAGCGGCAGAGGTTTTCAGCAGCCTCTTGGCTTGGATTCGCAAAGGAGGTTGCCTTCGAGACGGCGTGCCAAATGTCGGCCATTTCAAGAAGGCAAAGATGCTGTCGTGGACGCTGGCTGAAGCTCTACGCCGGACATACCGGACATGGCTGGCTGCCAGCAACACAGTGGCGCTACTGAGAGACGAGCGTCACAGCCGTTTGCTTGTGAGATTCAGATGCGCCAACTCGAGTCTTGACTGGGCAATTACTCAAACACTTTTCGTTGGTTGATGACCGTCGCGCAGGCTTTTTTGTTTCCAGGCCATGCTTTTTGCACTGCACACGCATTTGCAACTCGTTGTCGTGACGCGCCAGGCAAGCCAGACGCTTTGTTGGAGTTCTCGCGCAAGGCAAGCTCGTCAAAAACACGGCGACCAATGTGACGAATCTCACGAAGCAGTTGCTCAATGAGTTTTGCACCACCAACTTCGGCTGCCCATATTACGCCAAGTCAGGCCACGCCGACATAGCCTCTTTTGACAGTGGACTATTTGATCACATACGGGAGCACATTCACAGTGTGACAGTTGATGCTGCGTCTGATGAGATTGCTGCGTGTACAAACATGCAGCACGCAGACAGTTCCACTGCGGTGGATGGAGCAGCTTTCTGCCCCAACATACTGGCAGTGATCCGAGACAAGGCACATTGTAGCCGACGGATTCTAGCGCGACCGTGGTCGTGTGATCCATATTTGGATTTGGTGGCGGGCGTGCTTGTTTCTGAGAAGAACTCTCTCTCGCAAATGATTCAATATTCCGATGATTTTCGGGCGTGGTTCTTTGAGTGCTGCAGGGACGCGACCACAAAAGCCACAACTACCGAGTTCAAACACCTGAGAGCTGCAAAACATCGCTATGAGTCGCTGACTGCGCCGTTGACTCGCATCTGCTTGAACTGGGAGGCAGTCATCAGCTTCTTGGTCAAGGTGAGCCTTGAACGCCGCTCTCCAGCTTCTCAGGCAATTCTTGATGCACTGGATGCAGAAATGATGCTGCAGTCGGGTCTTCTGGCCGACGCAACGGACGAAGCGCAAATCCTCATTCGCTTCTTCGACACCGGTGACCCGGATTCGGGCAAGATCTCCGCCAGTGTGGCCACGTTTCTTCAGCGCCTGCACTACTTGTTCGACGAGTGGCTTGTTCCGATTAATATTGCGTGTGTGTGTGTGTGTGTGTGTAAGTGTGTGTGTGTGTGTGTGTGTGCGTGAGTAGGTGCGTGCGTGCGTGTGTGCGTGTGTGCGTGCGTGCGTGCGTGTGTGTGTGTGTACGTTTGATTTCCACTCATGATCGAGATTCCTTGCGCCTTGAGGCAAAACGTGTGGACATCCGCTGGGTACACGCTGGCCACATTGAGGTTTCTGGAGGCACCAACTCATATTGTGGTGAGAGGAGAAGTTCGATGCATTGGTGGGCCCAACGCCGTTCCCGCCCAGCTGCGCTCCCGTTGCCTGTCGCGGATGCTGGCATGGCGGGCGCTGGCTGAGCTTCGACGCCCCTGCGCTCGGCGTGCGCGTAGCGCAGCTGAGGGACCTGGCGGTGCACGGCCTCTGTCAGCCGGCTCACATCGTCCAGGTGCCGCTGCCCCTCCTGGGCCAGCCGGCGCTCCCCAAGCTTCGAGCTGGTCCAGTGCTTCAGCGCATTTGACATGGAGTGCTTTGAGCAGCAGGCAGCATCGATGACCGCGAGCAACCTTCAGTGCTCAGAAGCGTTGCGGCGAGTTGCGTCGTCCCTGCAGTTGGACTTGGAGGAGCTCATTTCAGAGTACCTTGACTTGGGTTCCATTGCCCTGGCTTTCTGGAGGAACCAGAATCGAGAGCGCAGTAACTTGCAATGCTGGCAGCACGCAATCGATTCCACAAGCAGTAGTGCAGCTCGAAGGCGCCACCCTGTTAACTCGCTGGCAGTTGCGCTTGCGCACTACGGGTGCATGACTTCCTCTGACAGTGTGGTGGAGCGTGACTTCTCGCGTGTCAAGCATGTCCTGGGCGAGAAGCGCCTTCAATGCGCAATAGAGGCCGAGAATGACATTGTCGTCATTGCGCTGAGCGACCCAGATTTAGACAACGAAGTCATCCGCACCGCTCAGCAGGTTTGGAAGGAAGCCTACGGTGTCTGCAGCAGGGCAAGATCGAAAGTGCGCTTTGACAAAGGCGTTGTCAAAAGCCGTAGCAGACAAATCGCGGATGGCTTTGATGCTGCCAATGGCGATGACTCAGGCAAGGCGGTGTCAGAAACAATGTTTCGCAAGACAAGACGGCAAGATGTTGCGGCCAAGATGGCTGCGGGGGATGTGGCTGCAGCCAGTGAGGTTGTGCTGGCTGACCCGTCAAGCGCATGGACTGCTGCTCACGATGAAGAGCTACGGTTCAACTGCAAGAAACAGTTGAAGCGAGCCTACGAGTGTTTGGAGTCTGGAACGCTGAACATTTCTGAGCTGCCTGATGAGCTCCGCGGCGAGGCCAGGAAGTATTTGCAATCCAGGCACTCCAATATGTTGGAGCGAGAGCGAGCAGAGCGCCGGCTGGCTAAGCAGACCTTGCAAAGGCTTCCTGACCCGGAGGAGCTTGTAGTTTCGTTTCCAGCAAACTCCTTGATCGTGTTCAATGTATTGGCTTGGCGCTCTTACTTGAGACAGACTAATGTTATCAGGCTGGACAGTCAGCGCCAAGACTGGCAGTGTTGCTAACCCTTGTTCAAGCTTAACCTGTCAACAAGCATGTTACACAGCCTGATTGTGTCAACTCCGAGACAAAGCGCCCACGGGTTGTTGACATCGAACGCGAGGGTCACAGGCATGTTTGTGCGTGTTTGTTGCAGGAGTTGTATGGCCTGGCCGTGCTCGTTGATGATTCATTGAGGACTAGGGCACTGGACGCTGCAATGGACAGCATGGGCTGGCATGTCACCGCAGCCCACGATGCCAAAGTCGTTGTGCTTGACGGCATCAACTCCGCCCTGCCTGTGCACCTTGCCATTGCAGCTGCGCTTGGTGGCGTATGGCTTGTGACACCCGACTTTGTGTGTGCTTACAAAGGGGCTGCCATCAAGCTTAAGCCTGCAGCCCGCACCAAGCGCAAGGTCTTCTGCACTCTGAAGTTTCAGACGGAGCACTCCGAAGAGTTTGCTGTGCTCCAAGCATTTCAATCAAACCAGTTTCGGCTGATCAATTCACTTGAAGAATTCGCAGTTGCTAAACAGCAAGCTGAAGATTGCCGGAGCTCTGCATCAGTTCTGGCGTTGCTGCATGAATCCGAGAAGCCAGTGTTTGCAGGCATTAGCCATTGCTGGACTCCTCAGGAATTCAGAGACTTCGTTTTCCAGGTTGATCTGGAGAAGACGTGTCAGGGCAAGTGACACACTGCATGACTCTGCATGGGAAAAATACTGAGTACTTGTGTTCTGTTTTCTGCAAGTGCTTGACAGTCTCTTGCAAGCAGTTGACTGCATGTTCCGCGTTTTTCAAGGCTGAACCTGCGAGACGAGGGTGACTCTCATCAGGCCATCATCGGTTGAAGTTGTCGTGCGCTTATTGAGCCTGTGATGTTTGGAAATGTTGACCTCAAAACTACCGGTTTGCCAAATGATTGCGTCTTGAGTCGGTGCATCGCCTTACTTAGCAAACGTTACTTAGCACTTCAAGGCATTGCTAGAGCTGCAAGAGCTTTAGTTTTTGAAACCAGGTGTGACATGTTTAACTAGCGCTGCTGATGTGTGCACTTGTCAGCCCAGTTGTTGAAAAAGGGGGTTGGTACAGCGTGGCGCAGCGGTACCTGAAAAAGGGGGTCGGTACAGCGTGGTACGGCGGTACATGAAAAAGGAGGTCAGTGCGGCGTGGTACGGCGGTACGTGAAAAGGGGGTCGGTACAGCGTGGTACGGCGGTGCATGAAAAAAGGGGTTGGTACAGCGCGGTATGGCAGTACGTGACAAAGGGGGTCGGTACGGCGTGGTACGGCGGTACGGCGCGGTGTCAAAACACCAGGTGGTACGCAAGGGGGTTCGCGAGGTTAAAGCGCTCGATTAAGCTTTTGCCACTTTCGGGGGTTAGTGACTCACCCCGTCGACGGGGTGAGTCACTAACCCCCGAAAGTGGCAAAAGCTTAATCGAGCGCAGTTGGCTAGCAGACAAACAAAATGACTTGCTGCTCCGGGGGGGTCAGTGACCCCCCCCTGACCAGACCACCACGTCAACGCAGTGAGTCACTGACCCCTCCCTTGAAGGGCGCCGTGCCAGCTGCGACCCGCTTGATTAAGCTTTGCCCCTTGCTCGGTGTTGTTGATGCAGGGGGTCAGTGACTTCAGGCGTTGACGTGGTGAGTCACTGAAGGGGGGGGGCAAACTACCCCTCCTGAGCAGCACCTTGAGTTTTGGCAGCGCCTCTTTGGTAAATCCTTATTGCCTTGAACTTGTCGTACCGAGGGTACTCAAGTAACGTTCACCGTGCGGGCGCCAGCAAAATCTGTCTGGCGCAGCCAGCAGTGACCAAAATACTCTCGTATGCCGCAGATTACTGGAATCCAAGCCTGGTACAGCAGCAATGACCAAAGTGCCCCTGGTACGCATGCGGTAGCGCGCGCACCCCAGCTTTCTGCAAACAGGCTTGGCTTTAAGAAGCTGTGGCGTACCAAGAGTATTTGGTTTCTGTAGGCTGCGCCAGCCTTGGATTCAGAAGGCTGTTGCGTACCAGGGGTACTTTGGTGACTGTTGGCGCTTGGAACGTACCGGGGGTACATTGGTCACTGTGGGCTGTACCAGGCTTGGGTTCCAGGAAGCTGAGGCGTACCAGGGATTCTTTGGTGGGCGTACCAGGCCACTCTTGGCTGTACCAGGCTTGGGTTGCAGAAAGCTGGGTTGCAATGCGCGCGTGCGTAACAGGGGCACTTTGGTCATTGCTACCGTACCACGCTTGGATTCCAGAAAGCTGGGGCGTACCAAGGGTACTTTGGTCACTGTAGGCTGTGCCAGGCTTGGATTTGGGAAGCTGGGGGTATTTGGTCGCTGGATTCGAGGAGGCTGTGCCGTACCAGGACCTACTTTGGTTTTGGGCAAAGCTGGGGCGTACCAGGGTACTTTGTCATTGTACCGGCCTGGATTGCAGGAAGTTGGCGTACCAGGGTACTTTGTCACTGTAGGCTGTACCGGCCTGGATTGCAGGAAGTTGGGGCGTACCAGGGTACTTTGTCACTGTAGGCTGTACCGGCAGGGTACTTTGTCACTGTAGCCTGGATTCCAGGAAGTTGGGGCGTACCCGGGGTACTTTGGTCACTGTTGGCTGCCAGGCTGGAGGGCGCCGGCTGTAGATTCCACAAAGCTGGGGCTGACAGGAAGCTGGGGCGTACCAGGGGTACTTTGCCCACTATTGCTGTACCAGGCTTGGATTCCAGGAAGCTGGGGTGTACCAGACGTACTTTGGTTGGCGTACCAGGGGTACTTTGGCCACTACCAGCCTTAAATTTCAGGAAGCTGGGGCGTACCAGGTGCTTTCACTGTAGGCTGTTCCAATAAGCTGGGGCGTACCAGGGGTACTTTGGCCACTATTGGGTGTGCCAGAATTGGAGTACAGCCTACTGACCAAAGTCCCTTGTACGCCGCAGCTTCCTGGAATCCAAGCCCGGTACAGTAGCAGTGACCAAAGTGCCCCTTGTACGCTGCAGCTTCCCAGGACCCAGTTCCAGGTTTCAAAAGTCAACAACACACGGAGGAATGGCCTCTCTTGCGGCAACGGACACTGTGCAACGTAAACATTTTTCCATGAGGAGAGTATAGGAACATTTTTTGTGTTTGCACTTGGTTGCGATTGTCTGTTATCAGCTTCAGCTGTCTCAGTCTGTCTCAGTTTTGAAGAAGGTCTCAGTCTGTCCTGCTCAGGCTGTGTGATGGCATCGCTTGTTTGCCTCGGCCATTGGCGTGCAGCAGGCTGGACTGAGACAAGCTGTGCAGGTTTCTCGCTCGTATTGACCTGACACTTGGAATCATTGACAGTTTGATCGCAGCTTTTCCAAGCTCATTTTTTTTTGGCATGGCGCCTAAGAAGGCAAGTCCTGCTGCCAAGTCGGCAGCTTCCGCTGTTAGCCCCAAAGAGCCTGACTATGTCAATCCCAACGTTGAGTGGCACCAGAAGGTGACTGATGCTGTCGACACGATCTTGCATGGATTTCGTGGACAAGCAGCCTCTCACTTTGGAGGAGGGCGCGCTCGTGGCGCCCATGGACTGGCAGGTGATGCATGACCGGCTGATGAACCCCCAGGGCAGCCACAATGAGGTGCTATGCGCTGGCGGCGTCAACGTGCTGCGCTGCAACCCTTTGCAGTCAATGACGCCTTCTGTCCGGATCAATGTGCAGAAGGTGGAAGCCATGATGATGAACCTGTGGGGGCATGGGAAAATCGTTCCCTTGCTTGAGCCGGTGGACTTCGTAGCCAAGCAGCTGGTGAATGGCAAGATGCCGGAGTTTGACAGAATCTCTCCTGAAGAGCCAGTTCAAGCATTGCTGGTGTGGGGCTAGGCGGATCCGCGACGACGCTGACGAGCCTGAGTTGGAGCTCTGGCGAAAGATTCTGCTGTCCACGCAGGCCAGATGTGTACGAGCTTCGTCGTGGGATGAACGATACTTCTGGAGTGTCAACAGCCGACGTCGAACAGCAGACATAGCCAAGACAGTGACGCACTTGGCGTCGCAGATCTGCCAGGACATTTGGTTGTTCAAGCGCCGCAAGGAGAGCTTGCTGAACAAAACTCTGACTAACGCCGAGGTGGCCGGCCTCTACCTGCAGTTCATGCCGGACACGGAGACGGACGAGGAGCCCAGAAGCGACGAAGGCAACATCCAGCGAGCCTGCCAAGTGTACGAGAGGGTGCTGAGCAACAAGGTGATCGCCAGTGTCATCGCGTGGTCTGACACAACCCATGGCAGCGAGGGCCCTTTCAACAGCATTGGCAAGCTAGTGGAAATTTCAGCCAAACTGAAGAAGATTCCCACGCTTGAGTACTTTTTCACATCAATGAAGCTCGCGCTCCAACAAGACCAGCTTGAGGTCGGAGAGCTGTCCACCAAAAAGTTGCGCGGCGGAGGAGGGCATGGTGGCAAGATTGGCCTCTTAGATGTTGTGATCACGAAGAAGGCGATGAGGGATTTCTTGCTCAGCCGCTGGCTGGACGTGCAGAACAACATCTCCCCGGAACACAAGGCCTTGTTGAAGAAGACCTTTGACACAGCAGAGAACTACGAGGCAAACTACATTGCCACCAGGCGTGTTTAATTGTCTGTGAGGTTTTGTTTTTTATTTTAGAAGCAGGAGAAGCCAACGTTTTGATGAGGAGTTGTTGGTGTGTGGCTTACGGCAGCCCAGGTCAAGGAAAGGACATGGATGTTGGGTTTGCCAACCGCCGTGAGCAAGTTGATCGAATTGCTGGAGTCTGTGGGTTACAAGTTTGACTCGTCGGAGATTCCTGCGGTCAAGACGGGCATCAAGGCTGGAAAGACAGGGCAGGAAATTTTGGAGGAGTATCAGCCTTACAAGCAGCTATTGGCTGATATTGTCGCAGCAGCTGTGCCAGGGGTTGCGCTGCAAGACGGCGATGAGGATTCAACTGCTCAGTCCTCACAGGGAGCAGCAGCTGTCGCTTCATCGACAAAGACTGAGCAACTGCATCAGTGCACCACAATGCATGAAGAAGGCGCCTTGTCTTAGCAGTACCATTTTACCGCAACTTATGTCGCAACGGCTTGTTGACGTTTTGGCAACCTTTGGTAGTTTATCATTTCACCCCCCTACCCCCCCCCCCCCCGCGCCAGGCATTGCTCTGGGCTCGGTGTCAGATGGCTGGCTTGCCATGGCTGACCGCATCATTGCCAAGAACGTGGTGTTGGTTGTTGAGAAAGGGCTTACGCAGACCCAGCTTCAGAATGCCATGAGCAAATACGCAATCTCAAAGATCCGCGGCCAGAACGGAAACAACGTGGTTATCTACTTCGATTCCAACAACTTTGGAGAAGCAATCACAGCGCCGCACATCAGACGGCCGCCTCTGCAGAGCACAGTGGTAGCGAAGATGTGGAAGGCCCTCAAAGCAATCCGCGAGGACCCTGGCAGCCCAGGGCTATTGCCGCCTGGTGACATCTTGGTGCTGCTTGACGGCTGCCGGAAGACGGACGTGACAGTCGTGAACTTGTTCGGCATGGGCAAGGACCGTCGCACAGCCGACCGTGGGCGCAAAGAGCGCGACGGAAAGACTCTCTCTCGGCAGATCACTGTGGCGTTCGACGAGAAGTCCGTGGTTGGCCGCAAGTTCCGAAAGAAGCACAAGAATGATTTCTTGAGTTGCTCTCAGAGGGCGCTGCTTTTCTGGAATGGCAGCACTACCAGCGCCTCGGCTGTTGTGGCGACATTGCGTTTTGCTGCTTCGGCGCAGCGTCAGCCAAAGTAGGCGATTTGCAGAGGAGCTGTAAGAGCTCGTTTAGAGTTGGCTGCAAGAAGCAAATCAGACACGTGTTTCCAGCTGTTGTCTAGTAGCCCGACTGCCTAAGTCGGCACAGCGTCAGCCAAAGTAGGAGAGCTGCAAGAGCTTGTCTAGAGTTGGCTGCAAGAATCAAATTAGACATGCTTTTCCAGCTGTTGTCTGTTGTCTAGCCCGACTTAGGCATCCCAGCCAAGACGCACAAGTTCTTCCCCGAAGCCACGAACATGTCGGACGTGCTGGGGCCATTTTCCCTGGAAGCGTATCAGAACCTCCCCAAGCTTCGCATGAAGGACAAGAAGGAGTTCTGGGGATTGAGGCGCCGAGCAGTGGGCGGACGCACTGAAGGTGCCAATGAGGATAGCGATGATGATGACAACGAGCCGGATGAAGAGGTGCCTATGCTGGAGCTGCCCAAGGTCGGTCGGGCATGCCTGACGACATTGTGCAGTGTGTCAATTTCCAGCAGCTACCCAGCGCTGTGGGCGAGAGCTTCCTGCACTCCCTGAGTGCGATTTCTTGCTGCGATCTAGCGCCTGGCACTGGCGAGTTGGCGTGCAGCGCGGTGCTGGAGCAGGGTACTTGGGCATCTGCCAGACAGAGTATCAGCGCGAGTTCATCCTCACCCGGTTGAAGAAGGAGGTTTTGCGTTCCATGGAGGAGCCAAGTTCGAAGGTGTACTGCGCTGCCTACGCCAAGGAGGCTCAGGAGGAGAGAGGCGCGTTGGACTAAAATCGAGCGGCGTCATGTTAATTGTGGTTGTTACGGCCTTGATGAGTCTGAGTGTTCCTCTGCAGCGTTGCCAGGTGAGAAGCGCGAAGCTGGCCAGGATTTGCCAAATGCCCCGCCCAAGGCCAAGGCAAAGGTGGTGCCTCCTAAGAAGGACAAGGAGGAGAAGGCTGAGGGCACGGCGGCGGCGAAAGCCAAAGCCAAGTCCACGAGTGAAGCGAAGGTCAAGGCTAAGCCTCCGCCGCTGCAGTTGTCTGAGAAGTTGCAAGCCCTGCTGAAAGTTGCAAAGGGGCAGGATCCTGCTGAGTAGGAATCAGGCTTGTCAGGACCTTTGAATGTGCAGGCGCAGCACTGTGGCTATGAGCCTTGAGTGTGCGCTGGTGGCTATGACTGCCGCTTCAGAATTTTGAATCGACTCGTTCTGATTCCCTTGCGGGGGTTAGCCTGGGTTGCCGATCAATAGGTCAGATTGCCGAACAGAGCTGAAACCAGGCAAATGCTGTAACCAGGCAGATCAAACTTCGGCAAGCTGACTTTGCTGAATTCTTCAGTGAGTGAGCATGCTGGCACGGCTCACCACTCGCTGACGCCGAGTTTAGCATGGGCTGGCGGATGGCTTGGGGCGTTGGAGTTGCTGACTCAGGTGATGTGAGCGCTGAGCAGCTCCTGCAGACACAGCGTGGCAGTTCTAAAGTTTTCTGAGCTGCGCAAGTCCAACGCTGGCAGGCAACGCTGGCAGTCCAATGCTTTCAATTCACTTCTGTGCAACACAGATACTCGCTATGCGACCTGGCCAAATATCTGGCCAGTTTGAAAGTCAACAAATAAGTTCTGGCCAGTCAGGGGGGGGCTGTTCTGAACGGAAGCCATGTTGCAAGGATGGGCCCCAGTTGAATTGAATATTCTCTTCAAACAGTTGACCCTCTGACTCAGAGTGCACCTCGTTGTGGAGCCCTGGCCGTGAGACGTGAGAAGCCGTGAAAAAATATCAGCGTCTCCAAATCTCTCCAATATGCAAAGAATGGTGTTGCGTGTCTTGCGTCGTTCCATGCCATTCTGCAAGGCAGCATCATCCCAGCCCTTTGGTGCTGTCAAGCGCCCAGCTGGTTTCGACTGCAAGAGTCAAACAGTTTAGTTGGGCAGCATTGATTCTGTGCTCTGTCATCATTGATGTTCTCAGGCAACCTGGAGTTCAGCAGCTTGCTGAGCAAAACTGGTCCGAGCCTAAATTGCCGTTGACCACCCAATTGAATTCTGCACTGATTGACTAACTTTGACGGTGTGTTCGCCCGAGCATGGATGGAGAAGTGTTGATCGTTCACCTTTCGCGCGCCGAAGGCAATTTTGTTGATTCACCAGCGTAGTGCAGCGGCAGCCAAATCACTTTCATTGTGAGCCATGGAGATTGTGCCAACCCTTCCTGCCGGGTTCTTCACAAAGTACGTGGTGTTCAAGTACATGCACTGGGGCACGCGACGGCACTCGGAGTGGCTTTTGCTGCGGTGCACGCCAGAGCAGGAGGTGCTGTTCATCCGTCGCACGCGGCGTCTCAGCTATTATTAAAGTATAACATACTTCAGGTAGTTGGCTTGGAGATGTCAAATGGGTTGTAGTGAGCCACCTTGATTCATTGCTAAGGTCGGGGGTTCTGGCCCACGGCGCAGTTGGCGCCTGGACTTGGGACATGACTGGGCTCCACCTGCATCACTTTGCGTGCGCAAGGGGGGCTACAATCAGGAACTTGTGCCTGACGCTGCGCAACCCGAATGCGCTTGTGTACAGTGACGGTATCCGAAGCCTGGCGCACTGGTCAAGTTTTCGGCACTTTGAACGCTTGTTAATGTTGACCTAGTTTTATGGCTTGTGTCATGTCTTGCTTCTTGATGGCGGTGCATTACTTTGGCCAGCTGGACCTCTACGGCCAGGCAAACGTGTACTTGAGTTTCCGCTCGGGGAACTTCAGCCAGAGATCGCGTGTGTTCATGATGGCCTGCTTTGTCAGCGACTTGGAGTGTATGGCGTCCTGGTTTCTATCAGCGATCAAACCTAATCGTCTTACCAGGCGGGCTCAGCCTACAACAAAACCCATTGGTTCCCGTGTCTTACACAATACAGAAAAATAGGCGAACAAATGTCTTCCATACAAATATGCGTTCCCCACCAATTGCTTGGCGTGCGCCGTCCCTCAGGTGAAGTCCTGCCGTTCTTCCAGGAAGGTGACCCCTTGGGGCCCGCACGGGAGTACAGTGTGAGGGAGCAGGACGAGGATGTTGAGGACGACAATGGTGATCTCCGTGACTGGGTCCTGCTCAATTGTTAGATGCTATCCACTGAAGCTGATGCTGCTGGAATCGAGGCTTAGAAATTAGGCTTCGGACGCATGGCTGAATCGCGCCGAAGGCGCCTTTTTGGATCGTTTCATGATCCTCGGCTGGCTCGAGAGAAGGCCGGTCATTTCCCCATTAAAAAGCAGTCAAGCCAATTCAATCTTGGAGCAAAGTAGGCTGCGTCACTTTCATTCAACGCAGCAAGGATTTTTTTGGCGGGCCCACGCAGCCCTCTAAGTGCGCCGCCGCTCCTAATTCGGCAGTTGACATTGTCTCAGTTGTCAGAATCCTCAGCAGCTCAAAGCCAAGCAAAGGAAACAAAGGGCGTTGATTGCCATCCAGGAGCCAAGGATGAAGTGTCAGCGTCAGCCATCACATGTGTCACAAGGAAGGCTGCCACCGTTTGCCCATTTGTCAAGTGAGCGCATGGTTTCAGCCCGCTGGTTCCTGCTGAGGCCTGAGGCTCGGACGACAAGTTCCGTCGTTCCGTGCCCGCCTGAGCGCAGGGTTGCGCAAGTGATCAGCATTGAGTGATCAGCATTGAGTCTGTGAGTCTTCATTTTTCGGCTCTCGCTCTCGCTCACAGGGTCTTCAACAGGCTATCCTTGATTTTGCCAAACTCTTCGTCGGTTAGCTTGCCATCCGCCTGCCACTGCATCGCATCCTTCAAAGTGCAGTCCTGCAACGCACTGTAGGGCGTCGCTTTCTTCACGGCTTGGCACTCGTCTGTGGCCCGGCTTGGTAGTAGCGCCTGCTTGCCCCTGCGCCTTTTCTTGACAGTCTTTGTTGACGGTGATGATGGCGGGGTTTGCACCATGGTTGCCAGCAGCCCAATCTGCCGGCTTCTTTCTTGCATGAGGTAACTGTGGACATGGTTGGGGGTGAGACGTCCATAGCCCAAATGCGTTTTGATGCTAGACTTCGCGTGTCTTGCGTATTCCATGCTCATGGCCAGCGAGACGCCTTCTCCCATCATCATAGTTATCTTTGTGGCGCGGCCGGAGTGTGTCCTTAGCTGCTCCCACTTTGACGCCGCGGACGGATGCGCAGTGCAAAACTTCTTAGCAAGCTTTCTGACTGCTGACCACACGCCATGGTAAGAAAGATGATCTTGCTTCACCTTTTTGTTGTTGTACATCTTTCTGCCTGCAAACAGCCTTCCTTTCGCTGGCAATTCGTATTTCTCAGTAATCATCCGCTTGCCGTTTTGGTTGAGAGCCACCATTCGTGAGGACGTCACTCCCTGCGAAATCCACGTTTGCAAAAGTTGAACTTGCTCTGGCATGATTGGGATGTGACCTGCGGACTTCCCGCGCCCCTTCTCCTTCGGGACACAAAGCCTAGGCGGAGACATGTACAGCTTCAAATCCTCGCGGTTGAGCATTGCAGCTTCTCCAGCACGCAAGGCAAACATCCCTGTCAGCATGATGAGCACATACATCCGTGGTCCATGCTCATTGAGCACAAACTGGGCCCAGGATTGCCAATCCTGCGCAGACAGCGCAACTGCTTGCCCAAGACTTTTCTTCTTCAGTTTCCTTGGAGCGCACCAGCATGCCGGGGCCAGCGTCAGCAAGAATAGTGCCGCCAGTAGTACTCGAGGCATGTCATGAGCTGGCAAAACGCCCAAGTAATGTTTTGATAGCTGACGCGCGGCAGTTGCTGAAGGTAAAACCCGCCCAAGTAATCTTTCAGTCCGAAAGGTTACTTGGGCGGCTGGTGGGTTTTAACACGTGTTAGAAGCAGAACACGTGATGCATGCCCAACCCAACTCACTCACTCACACACACACACAGACACACGCGCGCAGTTGGAACTGCTGAGGCTTGCAGATCGCTTCGCCTTGAGGCCGGGGCCGGCCAGTGTGACTGAAGACCCAGACCATCCAAACTGAAGACCACCCAGACCTGAACCCTGAACTGCGGCAAGAGTTGCAAACAAGAGTTCCAAACATGTAGAACTGCAAGAGTTCGAAACACATAGAACTGCAAGAGTTCAAAACAAGCAGCGAGCAAGAGTTCGAAACGGGTACAACTGAAAGAGTTTAAAACATGTTTACATCTTTGCAGCCATGCTCTTGCAGCACTCCATGAGTTTCATGCAACGCGTTGATAGCTCTTGCAGCCATGATCATGTGAGAGAGAGTGGGAGAGAGAAGACTCTTACAGTCTGCCATGAGTTGCGTGACTCGGCGACTCTTGCAGCCGCAGGTGACTCTTGCAGCCACCAACTTTGAACGACTCTTGCAGTCGCTCGGTGGCTCTTGCAGCCACCGATGAACTCTTCCAGTTCATATGGGTGGCTCTTGCAGCCACAGTTGTTTGTTGCAGTCGCCCGGCAACTCTTGCAGTTCATATGGAATGACTCTTGCAGTCACAGGGCCTGACGGGTGTAGAAAAATAAGACTCTTGCAGTCTTTCACGAACTCTTGCAGTTCATGTTTGCGACTCTTG